AGATGGGGTTTCCTTGGCACCGTACTCATTTGGGAATGAGTCTGGGACACTCAAATAAGTGCACTTGTATTTAGGTGCACCTGTATTTAGGAAATGAGGAATTGGTATCATAGACTGAGAAGTATTACCTATGACTGAGGTTACCTTCGAGTATTTTTAGAGCATTACTGTCACTAGAAGAGGTAATGAGGAAATTTTTTAAAAAGATGAGGAAGGAAAGCTGTTAGAACCATAACCTCAGGAATAGAGAACCATAACATGCGATGCTAAATTATATATATCCAAAGGGAATTGACAGTTAATATTTGATTTTTCCCTGTTTATCTAAAAGAATGTGCTCATTAATTTAAAAGTAACATGTTATTTACAGCATTTTTAATTTTAAAAATCTCCTTAGAAGGATTAGGGATGTAGACTCTCTCATACCCTCACTGCTAATGGGGTTATAAATTGGTGCTAAGTTTCTCTGATATGTGTGCCAAAACCTCAAAATTACATCTACTCTTTTGAGCAGCTATTTAATTTTTAGGAATTTATGCTATGGTATATTAGGAATGTACACAAAGGTTATAATACATATTCATATATATTAAATGTATGTTTTCTTAAAATCATAATAATCTACTTTTTAAAAAATAAAATGGAATTAGTTAAATAAATTGTGATGCATCTATATAGTAAAGTTCTATATTGTCACAAATCATGATGATATACAGATATCTTAATAGTGTGAAAAATGGTCAGGATATATTACTAATTTTAAAAATGGGGCTTCCCTGGTGGCACAGTGGTTAAGAATCTGCCTGCTAATGCAGGGGACACGAGTTCGAGCCCTGGTCTTGGAAAATCCCACATGCCGCAGAGCAACAAAGCCCGTGAGCCACAACTACTGAGCCTGCGCGTCTGGAGCCTGTGCTCCACAACGGGAGAGGCCGTGACAGTGAGAGGCCTGTGCACCGCAATGAAGAGTGGCCCCCACTCGCTGCAACTGGAGAAGGCCCTCGCACAGAATCGAAGACCCGACATAGCCACAAATAAATAAATAAATTTAAAAAAATAAAAATAAAAATGTAGGAAAAGGAGCATATATCATTTGATTTTTTTTTATACACACAGATGTAAACAGTAGAATGAAGTTTATCAATATGTTAAAGTAGTTTAAGTGGTTATTTTGGGTAGTGGATAATAAAGTTCTTCCCTTCCTTTCTTCCTTCCCTCCTTCCCTCTCTCCTTCCTTTTTTTTTCCCTTCCTCCCTTCCATTTGTCTTCATTTTCCTTCCTCATCTTCCTTTTTATTCTTGGTTTCCTCTGTTTTCCAAGCATTTGGGCTTTAATTTTATAATTTGAAGGAATATACTGTTTCATTTTATTTTTAACCTTATCTCATTTGGATTTTCCTTAGGAAATTTAGGTGGAAAAATAAAGCGAAACAATTGTGTCGTACTAATGCCCCTTTTCCTTAATGATTCCAGGTTCTCTCCCTCCATGGGTGAAGAGGAGAGAAAATAGGAGAGTGAAGACCAACATTTCACTGTGTCTTTCAGAAGCAGACCTAGAAATTCATTCCACTGTTTTCATTCCTCTTCAGGAAATGAATTTAAAAAAAAATATATATATATATATATATATATATATATATATATATATATATACACACACATATATATTTGATAGTTGAAGGACTGATAGAAAAACAAGTCAGGTATTTGCTGTATAATTATTTCATGGTATTTAAACATTATGTATTTTTCTCCACAACAGTTATGAAGAAATCCGCTTTACCTTTAGTATGTAAAATTAAAATTATTCACAGCTTTTCTGAGTTTTCATAACACTTTTTAATAAATTAATAAATCTAGGCTCTTTAATTATCAAATTAAAGTCTGAATAAAAGTTTTCCGGGGAAGCAAAAACAAGTCATGCTTAAACGCCAGGATAGGGAAGTTGGTAATAAAAAAATAACGTTCAATAATGACCAAAAGTAATTGACTATGTCAATTCTCAAACTTGACATTGTCTCCCAGTATTCAAGTCTTGGTTCTAGGGAATGTGCACAGCCCAATGCAAATTACAAAACATTGAAAGTTGAAACTGGTAGTGACAGAATATTGGTGATAGCGTTTATACTGTACTAACAACTGTATACAGCCTGACATGGAGCAGATGGTCTGAGTTTTGAGAATATTAAGCTTGTCAGGTAAGTGAAATTTTTGCTACAGTAACTATATTTTCAACCAATTTTTTTTTAATGAATCCTATCAGTACAACTATCATAGGTGCTTCATGTGTTTCATTTTAGGGGGAATTGATAGCAGGATCACCATATTAACTTTGCATTTTAATTCCATGTTACTGGTGTCCCATGGGTCCCAGATTGAACACCAGGGGTGCTGGGCCCAGGATTGAGGCAAGTCTGAGTCTGTCTGGAGGCTGGAGATATGGCATGCCATGGTTCTATTTTCACAAACATCAGATGAATCCCATGGGGAGGAAGTCATGGTAAGGAGAAGGGCTGCAGAGCTATATGGCAGCCTTCAAAAATCCCACCAGTGACTTGATTGTGTCGAGGAAAGCCACTTTCAGTGAACCAAATCTGAGGGATAAGGAACAAAATGGTGGGCACTGCAAGAACAAGTTTTTGGAACACTTATGACAAATATGTGTGGAGGAGGGAGTCCCCAAACTATGGAAAGACGTTGAGGGGTTTGATTCCTAGAGACACTGTGGAGATATACTTTTTTGTATCCATTATGGTCACTCTGGTCTTATTCTCACTGTTGTCACCCAGAAAACACAGATTACTTTTATATCCCTTTAGAAAGAATAGAAAAGTAGTTATCAGATGGCATACAAAAAAAGACACAGGGCTTCCCTGGTAGCACAGTGGTTGAGAGTCCACCTGCCGATGCAGGACATGGGTTCGTGCCCTGGTCTGGGAAGATCCCACGTGCCACGGAGCGGCTGGGCCTGTGAGCCATGGCCGCTGAGCCTGTGCATCCGGAGCCTGTGCTCCACAACGGGAGAGGCCACAATGGTGAGAGGCCCGCGTGCTAGGCCTGTGAGCCATGGCCGCTGAGCCTGCGTGTCCGGAGCCTGTGCTCCGCAGTGAGAGAGGCCACAGCAGTGAGAGGCCCGCAAAAAAAAAAAAAAAAAAAAAAAAAAAAAAAGACACAAACATGTAGGCTTCTTGTCCCTACCTTTAAAACAATAAACACTAGGATCATTTGGAAAAAAAATAACAGTTACTAGGAAATCAATTAGCCAAGATGAAAAAAAAAATCCCTAAATAGCATTTAATCTTCCAAGTAAGAATTCTTCATTCTTGGGTCAGACTGATCAATGAGGTGGGCATTTAGACTGATTGATTAGATTCATCCATTTGTGGTGCCGCTGAACATCAGACATACATGATGGACATGTTCTTTGGTGTTACCTTCCTTTCTTCGTACTGCATAGCTAGTCACCTTTCTAGCATTTGTTATCTGATTTGGAAAATATTTTAGAACAACCCAATATCAACTTCAAGATAAAAATTTCTACACACTTCACAGCTCCTTCCTATTACATGAATGTGTAAATTGAATTCCCTCTCAAGATGAAAAAAACAAAGGTTGGCTTCCCAAAAATGTTTTCATTGGCTTTAGGGAACTAACATGCACCAGTCTGGGTGACTAATACTTCCTGGAAAATAAAGATAGATCAACACATAATTAAGTTCTGGCTCAACTATAATTGTTGTCTTGGAAACAGTTTTGGGGATAAATATGGTTGTGCTAATGAAACTTTTCATGATTTCCAACGATCCAGTTTATTAATTAGGCCAGACCATCTTACTACCTTAATGCTACCCGTTTTGGAATATTCAAAGGGTTAAAAAAAAAAAAAAGTTCCTAAGAGGACATTGAAAAGGAGGAAAGGGGGATAAATCTTAAATTCGTTATTTACTAGCTCTCATAAGGATTCTAGTTAAAGGAGTAGGTTAAACGTGCTTTTTGGCACTTTTGTGAGTTTCAAACATCCTTCCTACCTCATTAAGCAGAGAGCAGAGTTGTATACACAGCATTTTGAACTAATAATTCCTAGCGTTAATTCTCTGAACTCCCTCTTTGGAGGATTTAAAATCGGACGAACGCAAGAGAAACAAGCGAAACCAAAATCCTAACTAGCCAGGGTTTTCTAGTTCTAGCTTTCAGTAAAGAGGAGTTTTGTAGGAAGTTCTGCTCAAAGCGTAGCCCGAAGGGCAGCCTGCCGGCTCTGGAGGGTTTAGTGGAGGCCGAGCGTGAACCCTGGGGGCGAAAGCGCATCCTGGTCTGAGATCACACCCACTCGGGGTGTGCGTGAGTGAGCGCGCGGTGCCTGCGCGCGTGTGTACGTGTGGGGAGGTGTGTGCCAAAGGGGTGGGGTGAGCGGCGGTGAGGAGGGCGCTAGGTGAAGCGCGAGGAGCGGGAGCGGGAGGTCGCGCGCTCCGGCCTCTCCCCCAGGGGCCGCGGCGGCTGGCTCGCGCTCCGGCTGCCCCTCCTGGTGCGCGCCGCGGCGGCGCCACAGGCCCCTCGACCCTTTGACCACCGCCCTCCGGCCGCCAGCCCCCAGCGGGGACCGGCGATGGCGCGGGACTGACGGCCTCCTCCCTCCGGACCCTTCTGTCCCTCCAGGGGCTCCCGGGGGCCGCGGCGCCGCCCCGACCTGCATGTGGGGCGGGCGCGCCGGCGGCAAGAGCGAGCGGCCCTCGGCGCCCCCGAGGCGGTGCCCGGCCGCGCGGGAGAACTAGGAGGACGAGGAGGAGGAGGAGGAGCAGCGGGCCGGGCCGGTCTCCCCGCGCGCCGCCGCCCGGGAGCACGGGCTCCCCTGAGGGAGCTCGGGGCGTCCCAGCCCCGGAGGAGGGACCCGGAAGCAGAAGCGGAGCTGCAAGTCGAGCCGAGCCGCTGCCCCCGCTGCCCGCCGGCGCCGGGTGGGGGTCCCGGCGGCTGGATGGGCGGCGGCAGCTTCGGCCGCGGGCGGCTATGGGCGAGGAGCAGAGCACGGTGAGCGGCAGCGGCGGGCCCCTGGAGGCGCGGACCCCCCCTGGCGGCGCCACGGGCCACCCCGAGCCCCCGAGGCCTCCGGGGGACAGCACCGTGGCAGCCGGGCCGCGCGCCTCCTCCGCCGAGCCGAGCGGCGTCAGCTGCGGAAGCGACTCGGGCTGCGTGGACACGAGCGTCCCGGAGCCCGCGAGGAGCCGGGGGGCCCCGAGCTGGAAGAAGAACCAGGCACCGGCGCAGCCCGCAGGACTGGCCTACACCGGGCCCCTCAACCCCCAGGCTTTGCAACAGCAGCTGGCAAAGGAGGAGGAGGAAGCGAGGGACCGAAGCGAGAGAGGGGATGAACAGCAGGAGGCGCCCCCCGGTGAGCAGCCGGAGCCCCGGACCCGCGTCGGGGCCCCAGACGGACTGGTCCTGGACGTGCTGGGCCAGCGGCGCCCGTCCCCCACCAAGAGACAAGTCTTCTGCTCCGTGTTCTGCGTGGAGAACGACCTGCCCGAGGTCCCCTCGGCGGAGCGGCTCTCGCTGCCCGCGTCGCCACCCCGGGCTCCGCCGGTGACCAACCCTCCCAGCACCCCCTCCTCCTTCCCCAGCCCCCGGCTGTCGCTCCCAGCGGACACCCTGTCCCCCGACGGCGGCAGCATCGAGCTGGAGTTCTACCTGGCGCCCGAGCCGTTCTCCGTGCCCAGCCTGCTGGGAGCTCCACCCTACTCTGGCCTGGGTGGGGTCGGGGATCCCTATGCGCCCCACATGGTGCTGATGTGCCGGGTGTGCCTGGAAGACAAGCCCATCAAGCCCTTGCCCTGCTGCAAGAAGGCCGTGTGCGAGGAGTGCCTCAAAGTCTACCTGAGCTCCCAGGTAACCTCAGCCCCTCTGTCCCTCCCCTGTCCCCCATTCAGCATTCCAAATCACTGGCCAGGAAGTCCAGCTCGCCAGCTCACAGGAAGAGGTGATGAACACCCTTATGGAGGACCTCTGTCAGTTTCTTACATCTCGGTTGTTGGTTTAAGTGTGTTTGTCTTCGCTGGTTAACTTGACTGGAATTTAACTCTGCTTGAGCTTCGAGCTTTGATTGGCAACCATAGAAGGAACAGGGTACAAGTGAATTGCCTTCTGCTATTTCTTTTATTAGATTGCAAGCAAGGAGCTTGCTCAAAGAGGAGGGCAATGAGAGTGCCTCAGAGGCCTGGTATCCCAGAAACTAACAAATAGGGGGCATAAAATAAAAATGTATGGAGTTGGGGGAGAGAAGGGTTGCAATGAATGACACCGAATTTGAAATTTTGCTCCATTTAGATAATCCAGAAGAAGTGTTACTAATTTATTTATTCCTTGGCCCTGGTCCGCTTTTCGGTTTCTTTTTCCTCAGTTAAGTTGAAGTAGATTTTCTCACTGAAGTTTTACCCAGCAGAGCGCTTTATTTCTCTCAGAGGGAACCAAACAGAAAGAGCGAAACAAAGCAAAGCAACGCTAAGAGGCTTAACAAAACAAGTGCTGGTGAAACTTTCCTCCTCAGCTCCTTATTTGAAAACTTGTTTTTTTCTTGCAAAGTTTAAGAGTGCAGTAGACCGGCTTTCCTTCCCTGGTGGTGAATGCGTCCTTCCAGCAGCTTTTAGTCTGTTATGTTTCTGCCAGTGTTTTGCACAATCCGGAATGCCCTTTGATCCCATGTCTGATTGTCCGACGCCTATTCATCTTTCAAAACTCTGGCTGTTCAGGTGCCAACTTTTCCGTGAAGCCTTACCTCACCCTCCAGGCCACTGCTTGTATACTTTCAAAATACTTCTGCATGTCTTGCATGCGCTGAAGTTGTTCCATATGTGTCTGTTTGTCTGGCTAGACTGTATGGACAGGGTTTTATAGCCCCTGTGTCTGGTAGTTTCATGTTGGTATCCTTTCCCATAATAGTGTTTAATAACATTGACTGAAGCTAACTGAAGAGGATTTCACACGGTGCAGTTGCTCTGTGTATTGTGGCTAATCCATGCTTGTGTCTAGACTGAAAGTGTGTAACGTGCCCAACGGCAAACGCAAAGGGGAATTTAGACAGAATGGAATGTTACACAAACAGTGACTTGGCCAAGATGGCTGAGATTATCCAAACGCCTGTGAGAGACTGTGATGACTCTTTCATGCATTATCAGCAGACAGATGCTTGAAAAAGGAGGAAAGCCTGCTGCCCATCGTGTCAGTTTCTATGACATCACTGTCAAACAGCCCAACAGATATCGGTGCCATCCATGTGCAAAGCCCTGTGGTGGGATTCAGACATTCCCAAGGTATGGGCCCTGCTCCAAGGAAGTCCCCTTGTGTGTATACAAGATGTGTACACAAGAACAATACAAGGTAGCATATAATAAGATGTAAGCGGAGTAACAATATCATGTAGCACTTACTCTTAAGGGCTGGATACAGATGCAGTGGGTTTAGAAGTTCAAGGGAGGTGGTCATTATAGGTTGGGGTGCTCTGCAGTTTGATTCCTTTAAGGTGGGCCCTTTCCCCAAAGCAAAATTTTTTTTGCCACCATAAGTTAGTTTTAGGAAGTCAGTGTTTTGATCTCCAGTGGAGAAAGAGAAGGAATGGGGGTGGGGAGTGGAGGGTGGCAAGGTGAGTGAAGAATCATTGCCATGCACAACTGGGAAAAGCTCCTCTGAAGTAACGTAGTATCTGAAGGTTGTCGGCAGTATTTAGGATTGTATGTATGTTCCTGACCTTCTTCTGAAGTATTTGGCAGAACTTTCAGTAAAGAAAAAGTACACTTTATTTGAAATAATAAACAGCAACAAAAAGATGAACCATGCAGGCCAGGCATGCTTCCACTTCAGGGCTTTGTGTGTGTTGTTCCTTGTGCCTGGACTATCCCCCTGGAGTCCCCCCCTACCCCCCCCATTCCCTTGCTTACTCCTTCCCCTTCTCCCTTTCAGGTCTGTATGCAGATGTCACCTGTGTGACCTTCACTGACCACCTTTTTGGTGGTCACCCAAAGTTGAGCCTCACCCCACACTCTAGATCTCCTTTCCAGCTATTTATTTTCCCCATAGTGATAAAAATACTCTGTCTTGTGTTTATGCAGTTGATTTCCATGAAGACAGGAGTTTTCACATGATTTGTTCCCTACTGTGGCTTTAGCACCTAGAATGTTGTCTGACACATAACAGATGCTCAACTAATTAGTTATTGAGTTTATGAAGAGCTGAGCGACAAAGAGATGATGAAACTGCCCCCAGAAACCACGGCTAGAAGGAGGTGATCTGCTTGAGAACTGAATTTTACTCTGAGATTATTGATGTTTAAGACAAAAGACAAAGACTTAAAGTAGACAAAAATAATAGGTTTGCTAAGTTTGTTATTAAACTTAGAATTAAAGAGTTTTTAAACAAACTTTTAGCTTATATAAAAATGGCATTTCTTTCACTTGGATAAAACTAGGCCTGTGGTTATAATTCTGATCTGTGTTAATGATTAGGTCCCTTCTACTTAAAGAGTCTGTGTTTCCATATCACTTAACCTCTCTGTGTCTTAATTTCCTCATCAATGAAATGGGATGTAATGACACACCAATTCTAAAGCAAAACAAAATCAAACTGCAGAGTTGTTTTGTTGCATTACTGAACCAGGTCAAAGGGCATGGAGAGTGCCCTCTTTCTCATTTTATAAGGCTTTTTGGTTTTGACAGAAGTAAATCTGTCAAGCTTGAATGTGCAAGACTCTTTTAAGACCTTTTAAAGTAAAATGATATATTTGAAATAAAAAGTTATTAGTGACTTTTTTCATCATCTTTTGGATCTGTGCCAAATAGTGTATTATTTAACGTCATTTAAGGAAACAAAGCAGAGTCCCTATTAAGCATTTTATGCAAACATTAAAAATGCATACTAAATGTGAGTTGGAATATTGCCTGGTTAAATTAATATTCTTCTAAAAGGAGATGCTGAATTCTTTCAAAGGAGGTACAAAGTTGGAAGACAGGAATGCAGGTTTTTAGATCATAAATCTTATTGCCATTAGTGCCGTGGACTGAATATGTGGCAAAGGCTGATAGATAGGTGTCTTCATTATTTCAGTGCAGGCATAGCAGGGTGGTGACTTAAATACCTCCATACTGTGTTTTAAAAATAATAGTTTTAGTTTTTCAAAACATAATTCTTCTTCAGTTATCACTGTGACTGGGGCTGTTGGAGAATCCTTCTTAGTGGAATGACTTTACTGGCCGATAGGTACCATCCAGTTTCCAGTTGCCATGGTGAAGGACTGAACTGATACATTATAATCTTTGGCACTTACATAGGGGAGTTACTTGAAGGCTGTAGAGTACCATGACAGAGATAGTGGGAGTTTAACTGGTTTGTGTTGCCTGGGTACATAAATATTTGGTACATAAATTTTAGAAGTACGTTTCCTAGTAAGCTGTGTGTGCATGTATGACCATGGCTTAGAGCACACAGTCCCAGGGATGTCTGCAGTCTCCTGCAGGTCGCAGGGACATTCTGAGTACTGACCTCAGCTGGTTTGGCCTTTACCACGTTTTCTAGGAGGAAAGATTGTTGCTTTCCTTGTGTCATAGAATGATATTGTGCTCATTTCAAAAAATCCTCCACAGGTATCTTTCTTTTATGATTTTGGTTTGAGACAGTAAAATCTGTTATGATGTGAGATATTAATATTTAGTACTTTACGTAAAGAAAGAAGAGAATTGGGCATCCTAAGGGCTTTCTAAACGTAAGAGCTGTTGCAGCTTTCATCGCTCTGCTTCAAAGTGCTCGCGATTGGCAGATGCATATGACTTGGAATGTATACACCTGTCAAATGAGTATTAATAGAGACAAGCAACACATTTCTTCTGCAGTTTGTGAACAAAACAGCTGCTAGATGGTAATGTCCTGGAATGACTGTCTACCATAGTCACCCTCGAATCAGTGACCTAGGGATGAAAGCTTCTGTATCCTATTATTAAACTCTGAGTCATCCAGACTTTTATGGGTAAAAGTGTAACCTACTTTTTCCCTTTAAACCTTAAAACAATCTGGGTGTTTTTAGAATCTGTCCTGTTCAATATGGAGTTTGCATGCAGCCGTCTTCACACAGGTGATTTACAGATTCTATCATGCCAGGTGTGATTTTGGTAGTCTTAAAAATGTGAAGAATAAGAGACTGAACTCTGTTAAATCACTCTGAGAATTTGAAAAGTGAGAATTCAGGCATATGTAAGCTTATTTTTTTGTGTACAGAATGAGTGTGTGTGTGTGTGTGTGTGTGTGTGTGTGTGTGTATTGAGGGGCTGTGGTAACATTTGCTTTTATACCTTCCTGACTCATGCACTTACTTATTTTCCTCTTCTGACTCTTTAATGATATCTCTTTAAATAATTTCTTCATTTCTCTTTAATAATCTCTTTTTTCTCTTACTTTTTAAAATTTGATTTTAAGTAGCACTTGATTTCTGCAGAGGAATCAATCCCCTATCAAGGGCTTATCTCTGGGCCAGCAGGACCTGGTCCAGGCACTGCCTGGGTGTCTTCCTTCCCGTCGCTTCCAGCATCTGGAGATGACAGCGCCACGTGGAGAAACCCTGCATTGTGCTCCATTTGCCTACAAGATCTCAAATAACATGACTAGTACTACTTACCTCATGCGTCAACTGAAACCTTTACAGTGGTGATTTTTTCTTTTTCTCCTAGAGTAGATAGAGCTCAGCTTTTACACTTGAAGGCTCTTCCTTACTCCTCATATGAGAGACGGCAAAAGGAGAACGTTAGGACTTCAGCTCCCAGCTTTTCATTAAGAGTTTGTGATGGGGATGTAGACAGATACTTGAGTCATAATTTCTTATAATTAACTTTTTCATTTGTTAATGTACC